CTTTTTTGTTATCCTATGCTGGGGCTGTCCATTTGTTTTATGACTGTTTCTCCAGAGCTCCATGAGTTCCGAGGGAGAATGATGAGAAGGGCTGGTTCTGCAGCAGGGAGTGACAGCAGTGGCCTGAACAGTAGGTAGATCTTGAAGAGTGAGTAAGAGCCTTTTGTGGCTGTGTTGTCTCCTGCGTGAGGCCCAGCTAATAAGCCTGGAAGAATTTATTGGAGCGATCCAAGGACTGCTGGTTGGGAACTGCTGTTCTAACCAGCAAGCTGTTAGAGAAAAACCATTTCCCTTCTTCTCCGTCTGCATTGTTAATTTAGGAGCTGTGGCTGCTGTGTTTGGAGAAGCTGGAGGGCAACGCCAGCAGGGTCTGGCTGTATATCAGGACTGGCCCAGCACATGGGCAGAGTGGCAGCTCAGTGCAGTGTGTTGGTGCTGGAAGAGGAGGGGCTGTTTGTCATCCAGATGATGGGCAGGAACCCTGGACCTGTGGTGCACAGTGTGAAATGAATTTCATTGTCACAGCACCTCCTTCTCCAAGGGTGCTGGGAACCGATCAAAACAACTTGGGCATGAAGTAAGTATTCTGTGATGTTCTTACTTGACGTAGAAAGTTCTTGGGGAGTGGTTGTATCACACATCTGCTAGCAGAAAGGAGCTTTTTAAAAACTTCTGGGTGTGCTGGCTTGCTTTTGGTGTGAAGCAGCCCTTCCAGAAAGCTAGTTTAGTTTGTTTCTGTGAGATAATATTTTGAGAAACCCTCACCAACCTTGTCTCGCTCCTTAGCACTCCTTTCTGTGTGACTCATTTCTAAGAGGCTGAGTGCAATAGTCCCTCTTGCCTCAGATTTCAGCAGTAGGAGAGTTCAGTAGTTAAAAAAAAAAAAATCAAATTGAGAGGGGGAAAAACACCTCAAAGAATCTCAGGCTTGCTTGTATGGGTCATTCTATTCTTGGTTTTAATTGCTGGCAGTAATGAGGGAAAGACTGGACATAGCTAGGGTTGATGAGGGAATGCCAATGTGTTCTGCACTCTGAACGTTCTTGAGATTCGCACCTGGAGAAGTCACCTTCTGTCTTCAACCGACCCGATTATGACAGCATTTTGGCAGCTAATCAGTCTGCTGTTCTTCATGTGGTTAATCAACATATCATCTCCAGACAACATGAAAACACGTTGTTTCCCTTTCTGCTGGTCTTTAAAATGAAATCTAGCTAAAATCCTGCAGACCTCTAAAGGATGATAGAAGGACAGATGATTATGATCACTGCTGGAGCTTGTAGACATAAGAAATGTTCCAGCATGTTGCAGAAACCCACCTTGAGTGTCTTACATCTCATACTACTGTTAATATCATGATCTTAGACTCTCTTTGTGGCAGAAGGTTGTTAAAACCTTTTTCCACTGTATTTCTAGCCTATATTTTGGACATCTGAGGTCAGGCTAAAAGGCCAAGAAGTTGGATTTGTTTAATAGGAAGCTCCCAGGTTTGGGCATGGAAATCTCTGATTGCTTATACTATAAAGGTCAATTCGGGTCAGCAAATTAATTCTGGTGCAGGTGAGGGAGTTGAGAGCCATCATGCTTATGCCAGGGAAAAGGGTTTTTCACCAAGGTAATAAAATGGGATAAGAAAGGAGGCAAGTAAAAGGCTGTCTCTTAAATTAAATCCAGGCGAGCAACTGTCCATATCTGTCTGTTTGTAGCTTCTTTTTTGCATCCTTGTTCTTTGGATGTGTAAGAAGGGTTGCAGGCTTGTCGCTGTGAGCAGCTTGAGAGCTTTGTGTTGTGAAGTGGTGGGAGGAGAAGGATTCTAATGGGTGATGAAGCCTTACACTTCTTGTATGGTTATTGGATGGTAGTTGTACACTGATTCTTCAAGGCAAGCAAGCAGCAGGAGCCGGTTGGTGCTGTGGGGAGTAGTGCTGCACGCACCTGCAATACTTCTGTCATCCGAGATCATTTCATCTAAGAATAATTCTAGGAGAATGAGTTAGCAAGCTCTTCCACACTAATTGGTGAAATTAGTACAAGTGATGGAGCCAAGGAGCATCCTGGATGCTGTTCAAACCGTGAAGTTCCAAGTGTTGTGTTGAGTCGTGGCCAGGAATATTTCATCTCTCCGTCGACGACACTCATCGCAGGGTATGCTGGCCCAGGTACTTCTAGGAGAACCTGTGCACCTTGACAGTCCCTATCACTTTTGAGGCTCCAGGGTGGCCTCTGCTACCTTATGCTGAAGGGAAGGACAGCTCAGTCCCTCTGTCTCCCATCTCGTTCAGGGCAAATCTGGCTGGTTCTTGCTGAGGCCAAGCTACTTGAGGTTCCAATATCCTCAGCACATTGTTGCCATAGCAATTTGGTCTGATGGAATGATGGTTCAGATGAATTTTAATCAGAAACTCCATTGCTGGCTTCTCTGTTTCCCGAAGCAGGACCCTCTGCAGGTCAAACTGAGCTCGTGAAGCAGTAAATGAATTTTCCAGGAGTTGAGTTTCTGTGCTTTCAGAAGATCTTGGTGCTTGAGGTCTTTGGTTTTCTCTTGGGAAAGCACAGTGCTGAAAATCTGCTTTCTGGCTGGATCATAATCCCCTCACCCATGGGATCAGCCCCTGCAGTTATCATAGACAAATCTGAGCGGTGTAATAGTTGATGTGGATTTGATTGTTAAGTGTCTCACAGGGGGATTAGTCCCCTGGTGATCCCAGCAGAGGTCTCCAAGCTCATGTAGCATCTCAGGTTTTGGAGTGGCACGTTAACAGGCTGTGTTCAAGCCCTGAGACCACTTGGTTTCCTCTTGAGGGGAGGACAACGTGGTGAATTATCAGGATGTACGTTCTCCAGCCACTCTCTGCATGGATTGAGGACTAGACAGCAGACAAGTTTGTGTTCCAGTTGACAAAGGTGATCTATGGAATCTAAAACTGGGAAAGAGGTGGGGTTGAGGTGATGGCCAAACACACAGCCAACAAATAGTCTACTCTTCAAAGTAATTTTGTGCACAGCCATGATAACTGTTGTGCTTAATGGAGGTTTATTTAATAAAAAGCAGTAGCTTTTAAGTATTTTTATTCTGACCTGGATATAGTTTTCAGCCAAAACAACTGGGGCATGTGCTTAGGAATCTGATAATGTGAATCACCGTTTTCTAAAACAAACTTACTTAAAATATGACTTTAAATCATAGTTATTTAGCAGCCTTCTTAAGTAAGTACATTATGATAATGGAGGGCAGCTTACTTGCATCAGAGTTTTTTATCCTTGTTTTGTAATGGTGCTTTTGTTACTTGAAGTCATTTGACTTTGGCATTCACCCTGCACGCAACCTGCATGGTGAAACAGGCAGGCAGAGCACACATACTTGGTTGCTGCTTTTCTGTTGTGTGGGGGTTTTTTTGTTTGTTTTGGTTTGTTTTTAATTATACTGAAGGTTTTAAAAGGACCTGTTCTTCATGAGGATGTCACAGGAGGGCAAACTTCTGTGGCCATCTGAACTCAGCTCCCAAGCCTGATTTGAACCAGCTCCACAGTCTTACAACGACAGACTTAATGTGCCTATGTGTTTGCTACATAGTAAGCTAAAATAGGCTACACAGGAACAGCTGGTAGGCAGCTTAAGAAGCTGTTGCTCTTCAGGTCCTAGATCCTCCTCTTTCCTAAGCAGAAAATTCCTGATTCTCCTAGTACCAAAATTTCAGGACTCAGACTGGCCCCCCTTCCTAGGATGTATTTAGCATGAATATGTTCACCTCAGAAGCTCATCTCTGTTGCCCGTGCTGCTTCACCTGTACGTGTTCTCGGGATGAGTGCCTCGTTTCCCTGGGCAGAGCAGAGAGGTGGAGAGTGAGGATATGGTTGTGACACTGTAAGTGTGTACGGTGTCTGTACAGTGTCCTGCATCTTTTCATCTTTTTGCAGGAGGCCTGAAGTAAGTTTATTTTTTTTTTTTTTATACATCTGGGAAGGGAGCAGTGGTACAAAGAGGCCGAAAACACCTTGCACCTTTTGTGGTTAAGCTGGCTCCAGCTTGCAGCAAACCCCCAACTGTTGTTTGTGCAACAGTCAGAACACACCGAGCAGATGGTTTGTCCCTGTGTTTTGTATTTGCCACCCACAGAGGGGAGAAGCTCTCAAAAGGTGCTATAGATGCTTTTAAAGATATATTAAGAGAATTTGAGTACTACTGTTGCACTCAAAGATGCAACACGTTTGGCAGTTTGCCGTCAATTTAAGTCCCACGTCGTCAAATCCATGTTCAGAACATGTCTTTGAGGGTCAGGGTCACATACTGTGGGTTAGGTACCGTGAAAGGGGCACGTGCTGGATGCTGTCCAAGCCCTTGACTGCTTGGGTTTTAGTTATTCTTTCTGAATATATGTTTTCCCTAAAAGAGGCAAGGCAACTAACATTTTAATGTGAAGATAGGCATCCTCAGAGAGCCCACCGAAGGTGTTCTCAGTAAGCAGCTTCTTCTTGGCAGCAGCGGGTGGGAGCTCCACCATCCTGAGCTGAGGGATTTGATGATAAATAGGCAGATCATCACCTGCTGGTGACTGTTCAATGCTGGTGATCTTTCATCCCTTTTGTTCAGATTGGACCAGGCCTGTCTGTGGGTGTTCTCTGTGCCTCAGATGTGCCCGGAGTGCTGATCTACATCAGCCGGTGAGCTGGAGGCAGCAAAACAAACATGGTACTTGATAACAATGATCCAGTAATGCAGAGAGGCTGCATGACATGGCTGTAATGAGCAGAGGAGCTGCTGCGTATAGAGCAAGAGATGACTAAACCTGGGGATGCCATCCCTCCATCTGTGGTCATTTTGCTGCCAGCTGGAGAAGGCCAGGGAAGCTGGTTGCAGCTCCGGATGTTTAAATTGCCTCTGACTTTGGTGTTCCAGTGGTATGTGACCTGTCTTTAGAAGCTGTTGTGCTTGGAAAGTGATGGGAAATCGGGCAGGTGGAAAGTGCCCCAGGCGAGAGAAGCGCCTCTTGCGTGCACAGCGACGTTGTGTGCCAGGGTGGTGAAGTGAAGCTTAGGAATACTTATTTTCCTCAGTAGCTTAAGCAAGAAGAAGAGATCTGCCCCTCTGTGAAGAAAATGGAATTGTCAGCTCCCTTCTGTTGTGGGAATGTGCAGAGGAGGTTCTCTTCCCTGATGTATGGCTCCAGGTGTCTCATACTGGCCTCAGGGCAATTGGAACCCCCGGCAAGCCGGGGCAGCCCTGGCGCTCACCTTGGTTCTTGTTTAGCAAAGCAACACAGCTCGGCTCGTCTAGTGCCGTGCTGGTAGCCCAGCGCTTCTGCCACAGGATTCACTTTGTCATGGGCAGGTCTTTTTCCATCTGTGCTCAGCGATCACACAGGGAGCTGACTTTGTCCACATGGAGTGAATGTGCTGTTCATGGTGCTGTTTCCATGGCAAAATCCTGGTTTGGGGAGAGAGAAGCTTGAGATTTTTGGGTGTTCAGTCACAGGGGGAAGCCTGAGAGATCCTGAAGGAGGAAGTTGGTGAGGAGCAGCTGTCAATGCTGCCAGAAGAGTTGTCCCAGCCTGCTGCTGTGTCACCAGCGAAGGTGGCAGTGCAAGTGGTTCCACATGGCTGTGTGGGATTGAGAGCAGTCTGTGGAGCAGCCAAGATGGGAGTCAGACTAAAACATGTCAGGAAGGAGTCTGTGTGAGTGCATCGTCACAAGTCAGATGCCTTCTATTGGAAGTTTTCCTGCTGGTGTAAGTATCAAATGAGATCTAGCTTAATGTGGGCTTTGCAGATCAGGTTGTACAAAAAGCCGTAGTAGTTGCCCCAATGGTGTGCACTATCTCCTCTGGTAATCTGTGTATTTTGAAAAAAGTATCTCTTGTGCTTCAGATGACATCTGTCCTTGACGCTGATGAAGTTTATTGGAGTAATGCTTTGTCTTATCTGCACTTGATAAATATTTGGAAGAAGCACAAGATTCATGGGTGAACCCCAACAGCGGTGGGAGCTGACTACTCAGTGCAAGTCTTAAAGCTCCTGCTGATTTGTTTCAGGAGAGGCTGGGAATTAACTCTTCCAGTTACTTCTTTGAATTTTGTGCTTGTGGTACAATAAGATCTTGATGACCTGACCTCACAGCAGTGAACCTGCTTGTCTTTGTGTGCAGGGGTTTGTCCTGGCTTACCCAACAAACTGTTTTTCTAGCAGTCAATTTGACCTACTGGAGTGAAATGCAGCACAAGCGTGGTGGAATAACATCTGCACCTGCTTATGAAGGAGCTTCCTACCTTTTTGTCCTAAATGTGTGTGTGTGTGTGTTTGTTTTTCTTGCTAGGCTAAGGAAATTCTTACAAAAGAGTCAAATGTGCAAGAGGTACGTTGCCCCGTCACCGTCTGTGGGGATGTCCACGGTCAATTCCATGACCTTATGGAACTCTTTAGAATCGGTGGGAAGTCACCGGACACAAATTACCTGTTCATGGGAGACTACGTGGACAGAGGCTATTACTCGGTGGAAACAGTGACCCTTCTAGTAGCGTTGAAGGTATGGTTTGACAGTTTTCCTACAGCAGCCTTGGGCAAAAACACATTTTCAGGTAGTTTAGAAAGAATTGCTCCTCCCATTGACGCCACCGTTGGCTTGGCTCGACCTCCACGGATGTGAGTTGCAAGGTGTTAATGGGGACGTGCTGGTCTGTGACAGAGCTGCAGGCTGGGCTGCTCTTTGCAGTCCTCTGTTCCTGCTTCTCCCCGTGCTGCCGGGACAGTTCTGGTGTTGAAGCAGTTTTCTTTGTGGACAGGTGCGTTACCCAGAGCGCATTACAATACTGAGGGGCAACCACGAGAGCAGACAGATCACACAGGTGTACGGCTTCTACGACGAGTGCCTGCGGAAGTACGGCAACGCCAACGTCTGGAAGTACTTCACAGACCTCTTCGACTACCTGCCGCTCACAGCTCTGGTAGATGGCCAGGTAAGCCCTCAGTAAGGGACACGCTCTGTTCCGTCGAGTTCTGCAGACTGTTGTCTGACCTTGTCACGAACGGTCTCAAATAAATTCCCATAACTTCTGGTCTGAATTTTTTTCAAGCCCAAGTGCTTATTGTGGCTTTGGGGAAGAATTTAGTGAGGCATTAATACTAGTTGATGGTGTGGGGAGGGCTTTGCTGCCGAAGAAGTGGCAGGTATTGTGTAGGTGGGTCTTTTTAAATGACCACTCAATGTGTGGTTATCCCCTCAAGATATATTAGAAGCAGGTTAAGTTGTGGCTGTGAGGCAAGGTGTTCCTAAAATGAAAGATTTGCTGTTGCTCCGATCTCTGTATGCAAGGCGCTGCCTTTGAGTTTTGTTTCTTTCTGCAGGAATTAAGTTTAGCTCTTCTGTGAGGGTGAGACAACTCTGACTATAAAAGAGTGAGAACAAAGTTAAAACCAGCTATTTTCTGCCATCAGTCTTCCCATGACAATATGCACTGAACAGATTGCACCTTTTGGGTTTTTTTTTGGTTTTGTTTTTTGTTTCTGGAACAGATATTCTGTCTCCACGGTGGCCTCTCTCCATCCATAGATACACTGGATCATATCAGAGCCCTGGACCGCCTGCAGGAAGTTCCTCACGAGGTAACATGAAAGGAAGTGCATCGTACACTTAGACATTTGATGGTGGAAAATGCAAACATAGCCTCCCATGGAAGAATGGTGCAGCAGGGTCTGCCCATGCCTTCCAAAAACCTGAAATAAGCTGTGTAGGTGACTCCAAGAATCAGGGGGCTACCTATAGTTAGGTGTAACGATGTTACTGTTGCTCTGGGAGTTTTCGCAGTCCTGTGCGCCGAAATCTGTCTGTCCCTGGGGGCCTCCACATGCAGTCAGTGGCATCCTGACCACAGAGCTGGGATCGGTGGGGAGGGAAAGCAGCATGCTTGGATAAATTCTAGAGTGTCTCAGCGAGAAAAAAACGCTGAACTTCACTTGTGACCATTAGATGTTGTTCAACATGTCAGGTCCAACAATAGACTGGTTTGGAGAGGAAATTAAGCAATTAATACTCTGCCAGAAGAGCTGCTGAAGGCTTAACGTCAGTCTCTGGAACGGCCTCCTACGGGTCATTTCCCTTTTGTTAATTTATTGCAACTCTGCTGGCACTAGGGAGCCCGTTGCGTGGCCTTCTGCCTTCCCATGTGGCCTTTTTTACTACGCTGTGGGAGGCGAGAGTGGAACTGTGGGTCTGCTTTACGTGTCTTTGTGTCTCTTGACTGGTTGAAATGGTAAATGGAGTGTGTGGAAGAGGTGAGAACGGGTAACTAGCCGTGTTAAATAAACTCATGTGCCTTCTGCAGAGAAGGACGTGCTGGCAGGCTTTATATTGTAAAGGAAATATATTTTTGAAGTGACTTCTTATACCAATCTGCTGAATACTTTTTATTTCCCCCCCAAGGGTCCTATGTGTGATCTGCTATGGTCGGATCCAGATGATCGTGGCGGCTGGGGTATATCTCCACGTGGTGCTGGCTACACGTTTGGGCAAGACATTTCCGAAACATTTAACCATGCCAATGGTCTCACACTAGTCTCCCGTGCTCACCAACTTGTCATGGAGGTAGGGCAAGTCCTCTGCTACACTGTGCTAACAAAACAGAGGGCAGTTTGTGTCTCCTCTGCGAGACCTGCTGCTGCTGGGTTTGCGTAAGCGGACACCCAGATGTAACAGAGTTAAATACCAAGGAGGGACTTCAGCCACGAGGAAACAATGTGCCTTGACCTGCAATGTAAATAAGGGGATTTTCTGCCCTTTTTCCCCTTTCCTCTCCAAGTAAATTGCTAAATGGGCCCTGTCACACCCCGTTTATAGAAGTAATCTCCTTACATGCTGACTGCTCTACTTAAGCTGCTGCTTCATTAAGCAGCCTGTCCTGTAATACTCGGCAGTCAGATGTGACGGGGATTAAACCATAATTTTGGCTGTCAGTAGGCTATTCTTGTACGTCTTGCTGGAAAAATGCCAGGTGGGTCAATGGAGCAGAAATATTTTTAAAATCCAGTTCAAGTAGATCCCATGAGTAGTACTGCATGTGAGAAGTCACTCGTGTCTAGCAGGTAAATTCTCATTCGCGGTGGACGAAATCTGGAGGCGTACCTAAAGATCTTGAGGTTTTGTTGTGGTACAATCCATAGATTCTACACAAAATGGATAAAGGCACAAGCTGATGAAGGGCTGATCCCTGCAGAGTGGTTGAGGGTGGTTTTGTTAGGTGAGTACCGTCCATTGTTGTGCTAGAGTACTACTTTAAAAATGAAACTAAGTCAGTTGGAAACACGAGAAGTGTGCCATTTCGCAGGTGTCTTGGGTCATTTCAGACCAACTTCAGACTGGCTGAGGTTTAAGGTTTAACAGAGAACTTTTTTGTTTTCTTTTTTTTCTTCTTTTTTTTTTTCTGGCAGGGTTATAATTGGTGCCACGACCGAAATGTGGTGACCATTTTCAGCGCGCCCAATTACTGCTACCGCTGTGGGAACCAGGCTGCTATCATGGAACTAGACGACACTTTAAAATATTCCTTGTGAGTAACCTGTCCTGTAACCTCTTTCACTAACCATTCAGTGTTGTGAGGAATGTCTGATCCTTTCCAAAGAAGTTCTTCCATGAAAAGCCATCTCGAACCACTCTGGAATTAACGTTGTGCACTCTACCTGCAAGAATATTTAAAAATAAGCAGTGAGTTAAGCTTGGTCCTGCATTATCTGGCTCTCTGGAGTTGGAGCCTCTGCATTTTCTTAATCCCTTTACAGCCCATGTGTGGTGGGGAAAGTAAAAGCACATTGATTTACATATTTTTTATTTCTGATAGCTCTGAGCTTTGTAAAGGCAGGTGAGAGTCTGAATTCTGGTTTTGGCTGAGCTCTTGTGAAAGTAGCGATGCGCTGCAGAGGTGCTGACCTTGTGAGCCGATGCGTTTTGACTCCCACAGATGTTTGTTTTGGGACCTGGAGCATTTTATGTGGAAGCAGCTGGGATGAGTAAAGCAATAGCAGTGGGAGAGTGCGTCTGGTATTTATTGTGGTGTTGGAAGAAACCTCGTGGAGGAGGGAAAATGATCTTATTTTTCTTGCCTGCAGCCTCCAGTTTGACCCAGCACCTCGTCGTGGAGAGCCTCACGTTACGCGTCGCACCCCAGACTACTTCCTATAAACCTCTCCTAACCTTTGTAGAAGGAAAAACACCTGGCATTTTAAAAGAGCAACAATATTTACACGTTTCTGTGAGAAATCAGGGTTCGTCTCAACTTCAAATCCCCGTCATGGACCAAAATGTGCCATACAGAGGACGAAGAGCATTTAGCACAACTTGAGACTGAATTCCTTAAAACACTATATATATATATATATATACACACCTATATATATATATCCTATACCCATCAGTCCAACAGTCAATTTGCCTGCTGTATTTGTAGTCATTGGTTTGGTTTTTGTTTGTGGTTTTGTTTTTTTTTTCCTTCTGGACTGCTTGGAGAGGAAAAGGTAACTCTTAATAACACTTCCATCTTGCTTCTTTGTACATTTTTAGTTCTAGTGTTTAACTGGCATGAATTAGAGTTTATTTTCGAGGGAAATGCACACTAACTTCTTCTCCCACCACTCTATTTTATTAAAAGACCTATCGACTTAAACTGGAGAAAGGAAGAGATTCCTGCTTGGGAGTATGTTGTCATAACACGGATAAAAAGTGTTGCCCCTTTCTAGCTCAATTCCTGTTCTGTGTTGATCCCGCCTTTTATTTTTTGTGTTGTTTTGTTTGCTTTTTTTGTTATTTTCCCCCTCCTCCCCTCTGTATATTTGTCCTGAAAGTGCTTGCAAATCCTCCTCGCTGTACCTGAACCAATAAACTTGCCATCGTCAGCCCTAAGCTGTGGTGCTGTGTTGTGCTGTGCTGGGGCGGGCCGTGGGTGGGGAAGGGCGGTCCTGGGGCGGGGCGGAGCGGCGGGG